ATTATTTGCAAGATTGGTCATTCTATGTGAATTGTCCATCTCTGCCCGTTTTATCTAATAAAATCTTTCGGCAGTGTATCTGGCTTTTTCCTTAGGCTTAATGACTGCGGTCAATTCAGTTCAGATGTAGTTATATTATAATTTCTGGAAGTCTCTGAGTCTTCTTTTTATTATCATGACTAGAGTATCCGATATTTTAAGTCTCACAAGCATGGAAAGGTCACTAAAGAACTTAGTCTGTATCTTTTAAAGGCATTCACTTCTGTTTTTTTGTTAAGGAACTTATCATTTATAGATTTTAAATGTTTACGCTATATGATGCTGGGAGGCTTTCACGATTATCAAAGATGTTCGTTAGGCTATGCTGAGGTTTCTTATATCAGTTGATCATATATCCTTATCATGATGAACCATGACTTATTTGTACCTAAATCCCCAGTATCTGATCAAAATATATAGCTGGCAAGGAAAGCAATCTCGATGATCACTATTTTTGCTTGATAAACGATCTCTTATATAAAAATAATGAGCTAAAAGACCATAGAGCTTTTGTTTTGCAATAATTTTTATCGCTTTATAATTCGGTTTTCTTATTTTCTTCTAAATTATACAACAAAATAGGATAGGAATGTGCATTTATTTCCAAGTTTATTGTCATATTTTTTTCTCTATTTTTGCTAGTTGTTCTGAGAAATCCTCGATGTCTTGATGAAGACGCTAATGCCTCTACTAAAGAAGTAGATCGCAGGCTTTGCCATATTTATCTTAATTTAATTTTTGCAGATGATGTTTCTGCTGAAGTAGACATTTAAATAATTAGTGCTAGTGATAGGACAAAACAATCCAGGCTTAGTTTACTTTCATATTCTTCGGAAGTAGATTTTGAGACTGAGTAAATCCTGAATAAGAATGTTAGTTACCATAGGTCGCATAGGGTGATAGATCAGGTCTATTCAGAAGAGATTAACTCTTACGACAAGTAGTTTAAGTGCAAAAATATTTAAGCACATGAAGAAGGGAATCTTATAAAAGATACAGGATATGATTCATAAATCGTCCACAAAATATATGTTTCCATTCATTTCGCCTTAGGTGAACTTTAATGTGTCTAGTTCCCAGAAACAGCTGGAAATAATGTGGTATAGCCCCGGAATAGGGGCCTTTAATTCTTCTATTCTCTCTGTATAAGTGTCCGTTAACAGTCTTTTATGGAGCATATAGATCGCACATTTCGGTATAACGAAATTAACTTGGTGAAAAATGTATTTGATTTTAATTATATGAAACTCGTATGATTACTTGTATGCGGTTCTCTCTAGATAGCGACAGCAGCTTTATCTTGGTCTGTTGTAGTTTGAAGGTTCTTATAGAAGATTTCTAGTATTTTGTAAACATACTCATTTACTATGCAATGTCGTTAGTGCAAAGGCGAACACATGTTTTCTTTGTACGTACTAACAACATTAAAAATGTAAATTTTTAGAGGCCTGGCTCGTCTTTAAAACCTTTTCTGCTCTGTAAACCAGGGGTATTCGAAATTGCAAAATTGCTAATTGACGTACTTAACCTGGTTTTAAACTTCATTGTTGACGCTAATTAAACCTCGCATTTCTGATTTTTTTTTAAAAAGACCGGTATCAACCTATATAGCTTTTTAAATAGTATTAAGCTACTTTTTTAAACATATTATGAGAAAAATAATATGTCTATATACCTATGCTTAAAATACTGGATTCTTAAAATATATTAAATCTATTGGGTTCCATTTGAAATAGTTCGATTTCTTAGCTTTACTATGATCTATTTTTATTTTTATCCCTATTAAGCTTTCTGTTGGTGGCCTGGCCAACTATGCACATAGACGTGGTTTGACCGTCACAGAAAATTTCATCGGCTGCATGGAAGAGTTTTACTTCAACGGAGTTGCTGTCATACGTGATACCTTAAGAACACTAACTGGCCTCATTCCAGCAGAACTAACTACAAAAATTGACTGGTTGGAAGCACTGGGATTCCCTCATAAAAATCCAGTTCTTTGGTGGGGCCCACCAACCACTCAGGATGATTTGGCAATGGAGGTAAGATCCCCGGGAACTATCTGACCTAATAAAATATGATAGCTCTTTTATGAATATCATAAGGATTAAGACCATTCTTATTACAACCTAATACTGGTATGCTATTCACGATAAAACACTTATTTTCTGGCGCCTAACTTAAGAGGTCTTGATTTTCACTGGCAGCAATTGTCATTCCTTTTTATAGCTTTCCTATCTTTATCTCTAGAATACCCATTGCCTCTTTATTTCTTCGGTCTTATTAAGTCTGGCAATTATGTATCCAAATGCTGTACTTGTATACCTAAATTTTCACGGCCAATGTGTGAAAGTTATGAGTATTGTTACGACCCAATATTTTGGGTACTAGTCAAATGTATTAATTGAGTTAAAAAAACGATTCTGGCTTTCTAAGTATACCTGGAATAACTAGGCTAATATGTGCAGTAATATGAGGATTTGTTGATAGTATATCCTACTGTCGTCACGACAGTTAAATTTGTCTTTAGATGTGCATTTGAAAAATTTAGTGACTTGCTTCATTGCAAGTTGCATGAATCAGACCCTTGGACATATAGGCATTAGTTCAAGTATTTGATAACACTACGTAAACCATTTTTTGAATGTAATATATTTCCAGGTATGAGACTTGCTTAATGTACTTTGAGATACATGTATTATTTTTAGAAGACTCTAAAGATCGTGCTCCTACCTAGTTTCTTCCTTGATTCTGCAGCTTTATCTTTTTATTTGACTTACTCAGACCTTTCGTTCGCATTGTAATCACTCTTTTTAATGAGGAGCCAAATCTGTCGAATATATCGTAGACGAAAAGGCCAGTTGCTAAAAAATGTTGCATTAGAGCATCATTCTTCGATATCTTCTCGCAGCATGCCAAATTTAAGAAAGTGAGGGACAGCCAACTTTCGATGGCCTTGAGATTCCAGTCAATATCACTTTGCTGCTCACATTTAAGACTAATGATTTCAAACACTATGTGTAATATATACTAATAATTAGTATTGTTATTCTATAATATACATTTTTAATATATTATCATAATATTGGATACACTCTTAAGATTCTCATATAATTTTAAATTATTTTGTGGTAAAAATTGTGCGAAAAATATCAATAAACTGACCTTATTGCAGTGAGTAAATCCGTATTTACTTGCATCAAACATTATTTCGAGGTTTTTCGTTCGTAAGTAGGGTTTCGAGACTACTAGTAGGAAAATTTAGCTACCAGTCCCTCATTACCTTAAACGAAATAGGGTGAATACATCTCATATTATTTTGAGGCTCTTCATTTTGAGCTTAGTAGCCTTCAGCTCATTGTGCATAGACGTCCGTGAATACGTCCTGGATTTCCATTCGTTGTGTTACAGAGTACATAGGAGCATAAGAGCCTTTTTCAATGAGCTTCATATCATACTTATTTCGGATATAAGCCATAGGAATACGTTCATAGGGACTTAACTCAGCGTTATCTGCAATGGTCACAAGAGTAAACGTAATCTTTCAGGGTATTATTAATGCAAGATGTTTGTAAAAGATGCTTTCCATCTAGTGGGCCCAGGCTCATTGAATTCAGCACCATATGTGGAATTAAGCAGCAAAGTTTGGGCTATTCAGACGCAAGAACAGCGCAGTATAAAGCAAGTTAGAGTAAAATGTGGTAAATACTCATGCTTGCTCTTGACTCCTTTTTGACCGACCAGCAATCGTACAAATTTATGGTGACTTATAAAAATTATAAACTAAATGATTTTTCTACGTTTGTTTCACAATATTTTCCTTGGTATAATATCGAGACCGCAAGCCCTAATTTGAAAAACCTAACCGATTTAGTTGGTCACACAAAAGATGACTTTTACCACTTAAGCCTTACATAAATCTAGATTAACACATTAGGATCTTCAAGCTGATAATGTCAGTGTACCGAGACTACTAACACTGAAATAGTTCTCAAGTATGCCCTATTTTGCCACTTGGTAATTTCACTCAACAAGACTTATTCCGCTTTGGCTACTTGCGTGACTTTCATGATGCAGATACACTGTATATATTAAGACATCAACCTCCATCTATCTTTTTGCCAGCTAGCATCCTTATTTAATGAAATAAAGTACTTAAAATTAGCTTATTGAAAAATATGAAGTTTTGAACCACAGCTCAAACGACTACGTCATTCTATAAGAACCCAGGGTAATACAGAAATAACTGTAAACTCCAAAGTTTTTACGCTTTTTAGGGTTTCTCCATTGGAGGTTCTGGCGTTTTGAATACAAACTGTCCCGCCCCAGTGTCAGATCCGTCCGTGCTTACATTTCCTGGAGTCCAACAGTACCTTGTATACTTGAAAGTTGAACGAGCTTCATCCAACAAACTACAGTTTGGTTTCGACTTCAAAACTCTCAATCGTGGCGGCACCATATTTTATCAAAAGCTTGACCAGAAGGACAGACATTTTTTATATGTAAGTTTACGGTAATTCCTCTGACTCTACTCTCTTGCCCAGTGAAACTCGTAAAAGCTGACGTTAAGTGGACCAACTTCGAGTATTGTCATGTGCCTATACGCAGTTCTCATTTAACACTTATTATTGCGTCCGTATGCGAAAATTCTACCATAGAACTAAGTTGCAGTAATTCAATTTTTGGCTTGCTTTGTGCAGTGAAACTCTGCAGCAAATGAAAATCTTTTCTTCAGTCAATTGTACGAATATCAATTGTGGATGCTTCAAAACATCTATCATAAAAGGTTTTAAGTTATCTTCCACCATTCAACCAAGTTTAGTTGTTATAAATTTTAAATGACTGACTCATATATTGCAATCGTTGTTGATTTTCATTTCAGAAAACGCGGGGCTCCTCTTGGGCTCAAAAATTGTTTCAAACTTCTTTGTGGAGTTGATGGTAGGTGGGTGTGATCAAAACTTCGATCCACCCCGACTGAAAGTAATTTTTCGCAATGTAGGGCAAAATAAACTTCTTTGACAATGCTG